TTATTTATTTAAAAGGAAGAAATAATGCTCTATATGAATGCCATGCAAAGAGAGTTAAGAATTGATAAATAACAGTCTCATTGACTTTCTTATCGATGAATGCTTAAATAGATTTTGACAATATCGAGCGAGAATCTAAAGAAATTTTGAGGTTGTTGAGCACCTTATTAATGCCTTAGTCTGCACTGTTTTCTTTGTTTAATACTTTCATCTTAGGGGACTCATAATTTGCCCAGAAAATTTTTATAACATTTTTGTCATAGTGGGCTTTTGCAAACAATGCATTCTAAGAAGGCTTGTTTCAAAAAACATATCAAAGTAAGGGTCCAACCATAGTATTTTCAAAATCAATTTGGGCCTTTCTTTAGGGCGCGAATACTGTCGTATATTAGAGCATTCACTTTTCTCAACTTTCTATACAAGTTGCTACCTAATCCTTCCACAACTTAATAAAATAAAATGAATGGGAATTATGAGCTAGTATAAAATGCATGTCATGGTGTTTTTTTTTCGGCCTATGCTCACTATAAGAAATTTTGAAATTACAGATGACCAAAATTCGTGGGTAATCCAAAAAATTCGTGGGTAACACTTCATTTCCAACGGATTACAGACAGACTATAATTCGTCAGAAATTGCTCGTTTGAAACATTTATTGACGGATTATAATCCGTGGGTAACTTTCTGACAGAATTACCCACAGATTTTATCTGTGATTATTGTTAATAATATTTTTAAAAAATTATTTCAAAATTATATTAAATAACATCCTTAGTTAGCGCAACCATCCCTCATATCTGACCTTTCAGCAGCTCCACTTCATGACACTTTACGCAACTCCTCGTTGGTCAAAACCCTTCACCAATCATAGCTCTTCATGGGTAACCCTTTTTGAGATATTTGTATGCTTTTAGGATCAAAGATTGACCCCACAAACCCCACAAATTAACACAAGACTTTTCAGCGTGCCTTGGCATCACTTGCACATTTTTCTGGAAAACTTCCCAAAAGGTCACTCATCCTTGAATTACCCCAAGTCAAGCATGCTTAACTATGAAGTTCTTAAGGAATAAGTTACCAAAGAGTAGATGCATCTCATTGGTATAAACAGTACAAATTAATTCCTTTAAGTCATCTTCAACTATACAATCTCATACTTATACAATCTTTAGATCCATTTCATTCCAGTATATTTCACAAATTACAATATAATATAATACTATAATTTTTTTATCTAAGTTAAAAAATATTAATATTTTAGTTTATGTATTTCACAAGTTACATTTTTATTTATTATAATTAAAATTTATAATAAATTATATATAAAAATAAATATTATAGTTAAATCAATAAATCATATTTAAAATTTGTATAAATATATATTAAATGAAAATTAGTAACTAATCAAAGAATAATTAACTT